TAACTAGTGGGTCGGCCTTGGTGCCTTCGACCCATGGATTCTACGAAGGGAGACTCACCTCGATAGCTGAACCCATGAATATATCTCTGACTGCAAATCCGCTAGAATCCCCACGCTAATAAACATGAAGACATTCAATTAGCATTTCCAATACCCAATCCAATAATCCATATATGGGGTAAAAAGACCATTTTACCCCTCACCTAGTTTGGTCCAAGACTAAGGCCCAAACTCACAATCAAAGGCTCACAAACCAAATACTCATCCAAAGCCCACTTATGGCCCAAATTTCCAAATTGGGCCCAAACCCTTACATGGGCCTTACCCTAAAGCCCACTAACTTTTTCCCCAAACCCAACACTTGTCTACAGATGGCCTAACAAAGCCCCAAGCAATCCAAGCCCAAACGATAGCCCAAACCCAAAATGACACCATAAGGCCCACTAAGGCCCAAATATCCAAATTGGGTCCAAACCCATCATGGGCCTAACTCGAGAAGGCCCAACATCCAAAAAGGCTCAAAATAACCAATGGTCAAACTTCTTGTCAACACTCCATGGACAACAAGTCAACAAAACAAGAAAATCCCAACAGGTCGAGTACGCCCCGTGTAGTTATGTCACTTGTTGTTACAAGGCAACGGTCTCTTCGTCAGCTAGATGTTCAAACGCCTTATTGCATGGTGATCTCCAAGAAACCGTTTATCTACGACAACCACAAGGTTTTATTGATCCACATAATCCGAATCATATGTGTCTGCTTCACAAGTCCTTATATGGACTCAAACAGGCTCCAAGGGCCTGGTTTAATCGTCATTCCGGAGTCTTGTTACAACTTGGATTTCAAGGGTCTAAAACGGATGCCTCATTGTTTATTTACTCCCACAATGGTAATCTTCTATATATGCTCGTTTATGTGGATGACATCATCTTAACCGGCAACAATCCTTGTCTCATTGACCACATCATTCAGCGACTAGGCACTACTTTTGCAATCCAAGACACGGGTCGACTTTCATATTTTCTGGGGATCGAGGTAGTTCCCAAAGGTAGTGATTTGCTTCTTTTCCATAAGAAATACATCTCTGAAATTATTCACAAGGCAGGTCTCTCAAACTCCAAACCGGTCGACTTTCCCATGGCCACTAACTCAAACTTGGCTCTTGTTGATAGTCCTTTGCTTGAGAATCCAGTTCAATATAGACAAACAGTTGGGGCGCTACAATACCTAACTCTTTCCAGACCAGACATTACCTTTGCAGTTAACAAAGTCTGTCAATTTATGCACTCCCCCACAGAAAATCATTGGTCAGCGGTCCAACGAATTCTTCGGTATCTTCAAGGAACCTCTCATTTCGGCTTGCTGATTCAACAAAAATCAGCCCCTGTCATCCACGCATACATTGATGCCTACAATCGATCTCTCACAGCCTTCTCCGATGCAGACTAGGTCGGCTCTCTCGATGACCGTCGATCCACAGGGGGATTTGTCATCTACCTTGAATCTAATCTCATTTCGTGGTGTGCTCGTAAACAACGTACCGTCTCTCAGTCATCTACAAAATCCGAATGCAAAGCTTTAGCAGAAACGGTTGCTGAGTTAACTTGGCTTGAGGCGCTTCTAAAGGAACTTCACGTCTCTATGACATCGGTTCCTATTTTGTGGTGTGATAATTTAGGTGCCACCTACCTTTCAGCTAATCTGGTATTTCATGCTCGCACAAAACATGTGGAAATTGATTTTCACTTTGTCAGAGAAAAAGTCGCTCAAAGAAAGATCTCACTACAGTTTATCAAGACAGATGATCAAATTGCCTATCTGTTCACAATTCCTCTTTCCTCTCAATGATTTCTTCTACTTAGATCCAAGCTGCAGGTCGCACCCCGGCCTTAGCTTGAGGGGGAATATTAGACAGTGATTAGTGTGCTGAATATGTCACTGATTGTAATTATCAATTAGTGTTATTAGACAATTAGTGTTATTAGACAGCTAGTTTACTATAATTAGATTGAATATGACTCTATATATAGAGCTCCTCTATGTACAGTACACATTAATACAGAATATACATAATTCATATACCAAATTTCTTACGTAAAAATATACATTTTTTTGCGCTTTTTGCTGCTCAATTTTCACAGAAAATAAAGAAAAAAAATCTTTGTTGATTCTTCGTCAGAATTTTCTTAATTAGATTTTGAAATTTTATTTTACAATCAACAATTTTACATCAGATTTTAGAATGCTGATTTCAGAATTTAGAATCATAATTTTTGCTTCAGATTTTATGCATCAGATGTCATATTCAGCATTAATTTTCATCAGATTTATGTATTAGAAAATGCATTAGTTTTTTGAATCAGAATTTCTAATTTTAGAAGTTTAGTATCAATTTTTCATCAAAATTGTGTATCAGTTTTGTATCAGAACTCAGTTTTACACATCAGTTTTTAGGGAAAACACATCAGATTTCTAAAACCAGTTTAAGCGTCAGATTTACATCTGAACTGTTTATTAGATTTTTGTATCTGTTTGTATTAGAACTTTTGCATAAGATATTGCATCTGATTTCTAACTCAGATCTTGTATCAGTTTTATACATCATAATTTATGATTTACTCATTTGTTTTCTTCATTAAGATTTCCAGATTTTGTACATAAGAATTTCAGAAATCTAGGATCAGACTTTTGTATCAGAAACGACAGTATCAAATTTTCTGAATCAGTTTCAGAAGAAAACAAACATCAGTTTTTTGTGCAGAAAATTAAAAGCTCCAGTTTTTCTGTGTCAGTTTTAAATATCAGTAATCTGATTCTAGTTTTCTGAAATCAGGTTTTAAAAGATCATATTTTTTATGTTTCACATATTTTAGAATCTGTTTAGAAAAGTCAGTTTTCAGAATTTCTGGAAAACAGCTTCAGTTTTCAAAAAACAGCTTTCGTACTTGAAAAACATCATTAAAATCTGGAAAACAACATTAGTAATTGAAAAGAAAGCTTGGTTTATACTGAAAACAACTTTAATTTTCAGAAAGACTACACAAGTTTATGGAAAAACAGCTTTGTTTGCATAGTTTTTTTTTAAAAGCATCTTTGATTATTTGAAAAGAACTACTAACTTTCTGGAAAACTCCATTTCAGATTTCATTTTTAAGATTTCAAAAATAGTTGAGCAGATTTTCTGATTTTCAGAATTTCAGTTTTCAGCCTTCAAAATTCCAGAAACAGTTTTCTTATTTCAGAATTGTAGTTTCAGATTATTGGATTTCAGTTTTCCTATTTCAACATTTTTACAACAGATTTTAGGATATCATATATCATAATTGTTGAAACCTTTTTCTGAAAGAGATTTCAGATTTCAGAATCAGATTTCGAGAAACATATTTATAAAATTGTTTGAGCACTTTATTGTGCACATCTTCTGTTTCTATCCAAGTTGAGGCAGAAAGTTATTCTATAAACACTTAAACTTTGTGTTTAAAATATTTCAAAAATGGTATCACTGAAAAACACCCGGCACATAATGATGTGTTTTATGTTCTAGAGATTAAAAAGAAATTAGTCTTTGGATGGTTGTTGAATAAACAAGGATTTTGCTTAGTTTTTTAGTCCTACAGCTTTGTATGAATAACCAAAAAGGGTATGTTTGTATGTTTTATGTTCTAGAGTAGGGATGGCAAAATCCCCCATACCCAATGGGGAACCCGAAACCCGCACCCGTTTTGACCCCCCGAATAAAAAAGAGTCGGTGGGGATGGGGATGGGGATACCCTTAATCCCCAACCCTAGACCCGCCCCCGATATATATTAATATATAAAAATAATATAAAACATATATTTATTATACAATTTACAATACATAATACTTGATCCAAGTAACCTAACTCATGAGTAATTACTTGGTTGAAATTACACATTTTCTTTTTCTTTTATCTAATTTAAACTCGTGTATATATTTTTTTTCTATTTAGTTTATCTACTTTATCTCAAATATCACTCTGATAATTTTTTTCTAGTTCATTTTTTATGCAGTTATTTAAATTTGGTAGAAAATTTGTTTGTATTTTTTATGCAATCTATGGATATTTTTATACTTTGTAAAATCTTTAAACTTATGCTTGTAAAATTGAAATTTAGAGTTTTCCTTTACGTAAAACTTTTCATATTAAATATGGAAAAAAAATCCCCGATTCCCCGCTGGGGATCCCCAATCCCCGTTGGGGGTGGGGATGGAGGTTTATTTATATTCTCCAATGGGGATGGGGATGGGGATTGGAATGAGAATTCGGGGATGGGGATTGGGGTCCCTGTATTCCCCGCCCCCGTTGCCATCTCTATTCTAGAGATATCAATTTGATTTCAAACGAATGAGATATGCATGTTTTAAATTTTTTATAAAAATCAGTTTCAGTTCTTAAACCTGGTTTACCCGGACTCGAATGACCCGAAACCCAGATAAAACCATTCTTTAAAACTAAAACCCAGACCAGTTCTACATTTTTCGGTTCCGGTTCCGATCTGGTTTTTCGATTTTAAATCTCATCTCTATCGTGCATCATAAAAAATAGAGACCCAAATTGTGTATTTTGTAAACCAAAAGAACCAGTTTTACACTTTACATAAAAAATTATAAAGTAAATAGAATTTAATATAATGAAATCTTAAAATATTATGAAAAATAAAAAATATATATATATTTAGCTGAATATTTGAAAAAAATTTAAAAAGGCCAATACTAATTGAAAACTATATTATAATTATAAGGAATGCGACGAAATCGAAACAAAGATTTTGTCATTCCCGCTCTATACTTTACCACATAATATTCAAAATTTGTTTTAGATTTCAGACAAAAAAACAAACCCTCCAAAACAAAACAAAAGGTATAGATTAACAAACATCAAAAAGTTAAAATGTAATCACTTTTTAATGTCAATATCACAAGCAACGAGCCAAAGAAACAAATATTCTTCGTTTATACCACCACCCTCCAAAAATAAAGCGACTATAACACCGACCCTTTTATATTCTACAAATCGAAAATGGGACTAAAATCCCATAATAACATATAACAAAAAAACCTTTTACACCATCATTAAAACTCCAATTAACTTCATGTCCAATGTATAATAATAAAAATTGGAGCTTTTCTTTGATAATTATGCAAAAAAAAATATGCCTACTCTTTTTCACCTATTATTTAACACCATTCCAACTAATTTCCTGCCCACATTCACCACAAATAGTGGTGCACCCTTGTTTCACACCTTGGCTCCTTAAGGTTAACATATGGGCCAAATTTGTGCATTTTCTTAACACAAACCGATCCCTTGAACACACCCGGGTGCACCGAGGTGGTTTCTTGGTTCTGGGTTCCGGTTCCGGTTCCGGTTCCGGTTCGACCGGTGGCTCGGGTTCAACCTCGTTGACGGTTGGTTTGAAAACGGGTGTGGGCCCTTCAACCGGGTTTCTTTGCACTTCTTCCCATTCTAGGGTTCTTCTGTATACTTCCCATGCCATGTCTTGTTCTTCTTTTGATAGTTTTTCATCTTCGTTTTCTTGGAGAAGACTTTCATGTTCGTGATAATTCGCAATCCATCTGAATGAAATTCGGTATGTTAGGAGAAATTTAAGTTTTTTCTTTTTATAAAGAGGAAAAGATAGTGAATTATAATATTACTTGGGGTGATGTTTACTGAGTAATACTTCCATGAACTTGTCTGAAGAAACAGTTGCATGAAGAAGAGGATTGAATTGTGTAGCAGCATTGCCACCGAGTTGGTCCACTTTATTATATGATGTATTTAGGCTTTCATCATCACCAAAGGCAAACAGATGCAGCATCTCTTCTTTAGATATTGTTCTATGTACTTGTTGTCTATCAACCACTCTTGCTGAAAGACTCTCCTTTGTAACCTATTTATTTGTTCAATTCATTCATTATAATTATATTCACTATGAGTCATGTCAATAATGGACAAAAGACGTAAATGCCCTTGTTGTCATTTGGCCTGTGCATTGGACCGAGACCAAGACTCATGTTCAGTTGAACAAAATTTACATTATTTTGTCCCATCCAAAAAGGTGGGACGGAGACTTGTTCTCGATCTGTCTCGTCTTTGGAAAAAGACGAAAACGCCCTTCTCATCCTCATCGTCTAAAATAGCCCTAGAAAGCTAGTCCAGTCCTGTCCCACTTAACAAATGCAGCCTTCGGCTGCATTTGTTACACATGGCAGCAGTGGACTGGACAAACTTTCTAGTGCTATTTTCGATGATGAGGATGAGAAGGGCGTTTTCGTCTTTTTCCACAGACGAGAGAGATCGAGAGCAAGTCTCTGTCCCACCTTTTTGGACGGGACAAAATAATGCAAATTTTGTTCAACTGAACATGAGTCTTGGTCTCGGTCCAATGCACAGGCCAAATGACAACAAGGGCATTTACGTCTTTTGTCCATTATTCACAAATGTGATTATTACCTGACGCTTATAAATTTTTTCTTCCATTGTCCCATGTGCCATTAGACGGTATGCAAACACAGGCTTTGTTTGTCCATATCTGCAATTACAAAAGGGAGTTGAATTTTATATAAAAGTGATTAATTAATTAATTAATTAATGTTGTTAAAAATTTAGAATTATGATATACCTCCAAGCTCGATAAATAGCCTGAAGATCATACGTTGGGTTCCAAGATCCATCAACAATAATAACACGATTAGCAGCATACAGATTAATACCAAGAGATCCAGCTCTTGTTGATATTAAAGTGCATTTGACCCTCTTATTTGAAGGATCATTAAACTTCTCAACCAGTTTTTGTCTCTCTGATCCTTCAGTTCGTCCATCTAGCCTGTTTGTATAAAAAAAAATAAGTCAAAATGTAAAACCCAAAATAAGATGTACTTTATACAAGGAAAAAACATTAAGCTTTAGGTTTAGAGTTTAGGGAATGAACTTTGAGATAATAAGCTTACAATAAACCTGATGCAGGAGATAGTTTAGAAGGGTATATAAGTAATTTTAGTATGTAATCACGCACCTGTACCAATCTTTTCCCTGTTTCCAACATTTTCGGCTTTTCCCTTTTCGGGGTAATTTGGACAAATGTCTTTCAATCATATCAAGTGTGGCTAAACTTTGACTAAAAACCAGTGCCTTATCACAAGCATCAGAACACAAGGTTAAAATATCAAGCAGTAAAACAATTTTACCACTGTTTTCAGCATCATAACCATTCTCCTGTAGAAGATCACCCCACCAATTCTACAAAATATTTAAAAAAAAAATCAGTACTAAATTATCTTCAACTATAAATGGACATAACTAAAAAATACAAAACCAAAAACTTGAAACATTATTTACATACCTCCTTGAAAAAGCCACCAACTTTCTTTCTAGTTGATTGGTCTTTTCTGTTCCTTATTTTATCTGAAAGAAAAGTGTATGAATATATAACTTGCAAAAAAAAAAGGAAAAGAAAATGAAACTTTACCTCCATTAGCCATGGTATAATCCAAATTCTCATCACTAGAACTGTCTTCAAGAAAATTTTCAACAACATTTTCACGTTTCCCAAAGTTTCTATCTTTCATTAGTTGTAATATTCCAGGATGATTCCATATCTAGCAAGTGGAAACCATATTACAATAACTTAATAGATTAAGTCATGTTGCTTTTAAGTCTATTAAGTTAAAAAGAATATACCTGAGCCAATGCCTGATAACTGGCGAAAAAACTCTTCCTGGTTTTTTCTTGAGAAGCCTTCTCTTCAGTGAGTCCATGAACATCAAGAAATTTTTTGTAAAGTACCCTTTGCATAGGAGAAAGCTTCACAGCAATTACAAAAACAGTTTTTGGAGGTAAATCCTTCTTCACAACATTCATATCCATTCTTTGGACAAATCCCTTTAGTTGTTCATACAGAATGTGAGATCTCTGGTTCATGATTTTTACATCATCTGTTGTTGAATTTGTGTGTTGCCCATTCTCAATAGGGTTTTGGAAGCTACAAAAACACACATGAACCCAAGTCAATATACAACATGTATATGTTTGTATGCATGTATGTATGTGTTTGTGTGTATATATATATATATTATATATATTATAAAGTTAGAAAGGCTTACCGATTTCTAAATTCTTGACTGCTGCCAAGAAATCCTTCCCTCACAAAATCAACCATCTGTAATGAATACAAAGTAACATGATGATAAGATCTTTGAAGCCCTTTGTGAACATTGATCAAACATTTATTTTCTAAACAAATCAATGGAAGTAGAAATACTTACACAATAATACTCCATGAGGTTATTTTGAAGAGGTGAGCCTGTTAATGCTATTCGCCTCTGGCATTTCACTTGCTTTAAGGCCTGAGTTGTATCAGCTCTTGTGTTCTTAATCATGTGGGCCTCATCACACACAAGTATGTCAGGTCCATCCTGAGATATTTTGCCATTAAAATATTTGAATTTTAGAATCTAATCATAATTAACAACTTATTCCCAAGGTGTACATATAATCTATCTATAAAACAATCATATTCAACTTGTTAATTTATTGCTTTTAAAACTGATAATCATGAACAAGTGGCCTATAAAAAAGTAGATATAATATAAGCATGCATTTTGAAGTCCAAAATGATTACCTGAAGAGTCCTACAAAATTCCTTAGCCATGTGGCGATCTTTGACATGCTTTCCAAGAGACAAATTACGAAAATTAGTATAACCAATTAAGAAAACACCACCTTTAGCTCTCCACTTCATTAGCAACTCAAGTCTTCTATCCCTACAAATATAAATATAACATAAACAAAATCAATTGACATGGTCACAAAATTCAGTATATGTGTTCATTAAACCTAGGAGTTGTTTCTTTTTCCCTCATTAAGCCCTGTATAGGTAAGGTTGTTGAACAAAGTGATGATGTTTGTATGGAGTATGGACAAAAGTGTTGTATACATAAGGTTTTTTTTCTTTTCTATACTGAATAAACTGTCCGAATGAGACTAAATGACCATTTTACCCATACATTCCAACAAACCACTTTCACAATATTCGTCAAATTTTAACATGAGGAAAGTTGGGTGGAAAAAAAAAAGAAGAAAGGGAAAATAGATAAAGGGTTGGTGGGTTGGTGTCTTAATACATTAAGCCAGATTTTTTGGTTTAACAAACTAAGTCTTTCTGTAAAGATTAATTTAAAAGAGACAACAATGTATAGTTGTCTACATTAAGTGCTTAACCCATTAAGCTTATTAAGTTATAAAGAAACACCCCTTAATCTCATTGAACACATGATTAGTAAAAAGGGAATAAATCTTTCACAAAGTATTTCCCTCACGTGTCCCTAAAAAAATAATGTTGATAATAAACAGAGACTAAAGAAAGTAGTGTAAGAGTATGAATAGAATGATTACAAAATGCATTAAACAGAGGAAAAGATATAAGAGAAAAACCTTGGGACATCTTCAAGCATGTAGACACGAATAGGCTTAAACTCTGTAGGTCTCCATTTTGTAAACTCATGCCTCCAGTTATGCAAAACATTTACAGGTGTAACAATCATGGCAGCTTTTAATCCTATATCAACACTTCTCATAGCAGCATACAGAAAAGCTATAACCTGAAAAAGCAGGCTAATTATAATCAATGGTGGCAACTGAAAAAAAAAAAAAAAAAAAAAAAAAGAGTGAACAATATCATATAATCATTTGTACTTGTAACTCTTGTTTGCTTGATAGAAATCTATAGTAGGATTTTTTTATTATTATACAACATTCAGGTTGAGTTTTGGGGTGTAACATTAAGCAATATAAAGTGGTTTCAAATGGATCTGATCATAATACCTGTAGGGTTTTACCTAACCCCATGGTATGTGCAAGTATGCAACCAAGTCCCTTATCCCCTGACCTCACTTTTGTAATTGACTGTATAATATTTTCCCACAAAAACCTTATGCCTGCAACCTGCAGGGAGAAAAAGGTAAATTAAGCAACAAAAGGTCATAATCAGTGTACAACTATAACAAATGAATAAGTTGGAATACTATATACTATTCACAATACAAAATGGTTATAAACAAACTCACGTAACTCTCAAAAATATATCATGTTTAACACAATAGGCCAGCATTAAATAAAATATACATCTGCAACTACAGGATGAAGCAGTTTGATGCAAGAAAATGATCTTTGGTATAGTGAAAATCCACAAAATCAAGCTGAAATTTAGGGCAAATTAGTTTATCTTATACCTATAATAGCAATTTACTAACATTTATTAACACTATGTGTTGTACTTTATTTGTTACATATCACTATTATTGGTATAAATTATTTAAATATGTTGCTATTATGAGTTGCATATTGTTATTATCAGTAAAAAAGAAGCATGTATAGTATACCTGATGAGATTTCAATTGGATTGAGATGCTAGGTGGCAACCTCACAGCCTCCTCATTTTCCTCCCTTACAACATTTACAATATAGCCAGTTTGTGCATCACCTAACACTTTAACAGTAGTTCCATCAGATACAGTTGCCCTAAAACTTGCATAATTTGTCTTCATGGATTTCAATGCCTTTAAACGCTCAGCTTCCAGTGATTTAAGACGTTCTTGTCGTTCCTACAATGAAGTAAATTAATAAATAAATAACTTTCACACACAATAAAAAGTCAATAAAAAGAATGTAGTATAGTATACCTTTTCGATTGCAATCTTCTTTTTAGTATCTTCTCCTAATTCAGCATCATCAAGGATTCTTCGGATTTTCTTCTTCCTTCTCCTTTTGCTGATGTCACAAGAATACATGATATTAGTATATTGTGATAAGTATATAACATTATTACAGTACTTTTCAAGTTGATAAGTATATACTTTTCAAGTGATAATACCTAAGGGGAACCTTGATATTGTCATCTGAATCATCAGAGTCATCTGAATCACTTTCTGAACTTGAAGATGATGATTCACTTCTAGATTCAAAGGCTTTCTGTAACTGTGAAGTTAATGGCTGCAGGATACTTGGGGTGCAGCAACAGCATTGCCAGCTGGACTCTTGTGCTTTTAGCAAATATTCTTCTCCAAGATTCTTCTTTATACATGAAGTACAGAATAAGTTTTTGCATGATTTGCAACTTACTAAATCCCCGTTTTTTCCACACCATCCACAGAAACACTCTGAACATTCGGGATCCTGTGAATCAATCGTATTTAGTAAAAGAGAAAAGAGAAAAAGTAAACATTTATCTTTTAAATATCATCTGTAACAAACATAGTTAAAACAAGTAAATCAATAGAGGCTGTTAAAAACAAATCTTCAGAGATTTTATGAGATTTGGTTGGCATGGAATTGGAATTGGAATTCAATTCCATTCCATTCCTGCAATTGGTTGCAAATGAGTAGGGAATTGAATTCCGTTGGAATTCAGAAAATCCTTTGACTGATGGATTCCAAGATTGCATCCTGAAACGCACGGAATCCAATTCCAAGCATTTCCACTTTGTTAAAAATACCAAAATACCCTTTTAACACTAGATTTTTACGCACCAAACATGAATAAGCAAAACCCTTTTGACAGATTTACAAACCATACATTTATGCAGAGAAATGGAGTTGCATTTTATTCCTTCTAAAACATTCTATGAACCAAATACCCCCTTACAGATTTCCACCTTGACAAACAATTTGGGAAGCCTATCATTACGCATCAATAAACAAAAAGGTGTAGTCTCATATTGTGTCAAAAAATAATATGAAAGCTGAAAACTAGAAATGCATACCGTTTCTTTCATTTTCTCATCTAATCGATATTTGCAGTTTCTGCATACAATCACTTTCAAAAGTGGATGTGTATGCACTTCATTAGCAACTTTATCACAAGCTGTACAACAGAATTCCTCATCTGAACTCCCTGAAGGAGAATTAGCATCTCCATTTCCTTTGTGATCACTTTGATCATTTGTTTCACTTTCACTGCATGGAGAAGTAGATCCATCCACTGCAACATGTTCAACATCGGTTCTGCACTTCTTGCTATCAGATTGTTCAACACTGTCAGATGACCGTTTTGACCCTGAAAGCACTGCATGAACACCATTACTTGATGTCTTGTGATTGGCATTTAATCTGTGATTTGTAATATCATTACTCATATCATCTTCTTCCTCAGCTTCCTTGATACCCTTCTGATCATTTTCAAAATTAAAGTTTCGGTATCATAAATTTGTGTAAATATTACAAGAGAAAAAGCTAAACCCTTTTTTTTAAAGTGTGGGAAGTAAACACACCTGCTTTAACTTCTTTTTTTGTCTCTTTTTGTTCAAACGAGATAGAAGCTTACGATCAATATTTACATCATCTTCTTCTTTAACCTGTCAATGGAAATAGCTTTTAGAGTTGAAAATATTTAATAACACCAACAATGTCTTGTAATCCTCACATACCTTTCTAATATTCTTCTTATGATCTTCAGATTTATACAGTTCTCTCTCTGTCACTACAGCAGCAGCAACAAATGGATCATCCAAACTGCCTTCAATATCATCAATCTCCTCAACCTAAACACACACACAGAGATCAAGATGATGAAAAACAACAAAAAACAGAAAATGAAAAAAACAAGAAAACTATTTAACCTCATCTACACCAGGAAAGTTAAGTCCCAATTCTGCAGCTTGTTGTGGGGTACTTGCCAAGTATACAGAAGCCCAGTTTTTGCTTCCAAATGAAGTGTTCTTACTTGATGAAGAACACAATTCATTAAAAGATGACCAATTTACATCTTTATTAGATTCTTTATCATCTTCAGGAGCAAGGCGTTTCTGAAGAAACCCACTTGCACCTTCCTCCAACAATTTACCATGATGTCTGTCAAGAAAAGTCAAACATAGAAATCAACCTTAAAACCTGTAGAGACTAGAGATCATATGATTTAGTGAAAATAAGTTACCTTTTAACAGGCCTATGAGTTTGCAGATACTTCTCAGCATCTGCAATTGATTCAGTAGCATCATTTGTAACATTTGATCCAACCCAATGAGTCCTATTTTTCCATGCTTCTGTACAGCATCCATTTGGAGCTTGACTTTCTATCCACTTATAAAGGCTTGGAAGTTCAATTCCTGCTCCATCAAGTTGCTCCTGCACAATTTTCACATTAATATAAAGCATCATCAACACAACATTAAACTAACTTTTTATATAATACTATGTTTGACATACTGGCTGAAAAGCTAGCTGATAAAAGATAAAGTTTGGTAAAACTAGCTGATGAGCTAGCTGAAATATGTAAAATGACCTAAAAAGGCATGTAGAAGATTGAGTTTTTTATGATTAATAAAGGGTATATTTGGGAGAATATTAAGAAAGCTCAATAAGCTCGTTGAAACACTAGTCTGAGTAGCTGTTTAAAAGCTAGCTTATAAACTACTTTTTGGTAATAAGCTAGCTGAAATATGTAAAATGACATAAAAGGGCATGTAGAAAATTGAGTTTTTTATAATTAATACAGGGTACATTTGATTTGGGAATATTAAAAAAGCTCAAAAAGCTCGTTGAAACGCTAGTCTGAGTAGCTTTTTAAAAAGCTAGCTTATAAACTACTTTTTGGTATAAGCTAGTTGAAATATGTAAAATGACATAAAAGGGCATGTAGAAGATTGAGTCTTTTATAACTAATAAAAGGGTAGTATATTTGAGAGAATATCTCATTGAAAAGCTAGTCTAAGTAACTTTTTTAAAAGCTTATAAGCTACTTTTTGGTTTGCCAAGAATGACAACCTAAAAAAGCTAGAAAAATAGGCTAGCTTATAAGCTAGTTGTGATGTGTCAAACATAGCCTAAGAATCAAAAAGTTGACACTGGAGAAAAGAGCAGACCAACAAGTGAGCACTCTCTGTTTCAAGGTCATCAAGCTCATCTTCCCATTTTTCTCTCAGAGCTAACATTTCATCTGCAACAGCATTCTCAAGCTATACAAAAAAGAAACAATAGTTAGTGGTATGAAAAAAGTAACATAATCAAAAAGATAAGTTAAAAAAAGGGCAATAAACTAACTTCTTCCCCCTCAAGAGATTGTGCTAACTCATCCCGAACTTCAACTTCCACTTTTGCAAGTGACTCATCTTCAAGTGCTTCTTGGGCCTCTGCAGCCTAAATTACAACATCAAAATGTGAAAAAGAAAACAAACAATTCAATGGAAATTAAAATCTTTAAAATATCAATCAATACCTTACTCTCAACTGTCAAGAGCTCTGAAATTAGCCTTTCAATGTCTTCATCGGTGAGAGGTTGCTAAGAGACAAAAATAAAAACTTTAATACAGCAATCACAACATATGTAAATGATAATTTGATGTGAGTTTGTGCATGTATCTTGCCTCAAGATGCACCCCATCATCTTGACCAGATGTTGAGGGCTCATCATTCTCACTATCATTGATGAAAGAGTCACTGGATGCACTTCCAAGATCTTCTTCCTCTTCACATTTATCAGAAGCCATCAATAGTATAAATTGTACAATTATTTTATAACCTGCAGTAATCCCTAAAGCCATTAAAAAACATAAATAAGATATTATAATGCATCAGATTCTTCTAGATCAAACAGAAAGAAGAAAAATCATGTCATTCATGTGTGGTGCAAGACAGAATCACACAGACACCCAAGATTATCAATTACATGTGTTTTGATTGACAAATTAAACTTTTTATGTATATATACTTCAATATATAGTGGGGTATTTTGATCTTCCAATATAAATTAAGATTGGAATTAAATTACTTCAATCCACCCTAAGGAATGATATAATCCATCAAACATTGAATTGAAAGGATTCTGATAGAACTGAATTCCGCCCATTTGGCAACCAAACACGTAATGGAATGGAATCCTGAATTCCAATTCCACCGAATCCACAAACTAAACACACCTTGAGATGATGATATTAGCATTAAACTTCTTTTCTTTAGCACTCTCTTTTGATATGCTTTCCTTTTTATCATTGCATATACTTGATTATGATACACATTGCATTACACAAAATCTAGAATAATATTGTATATATTTATGACAATAAGTTTATTTGAGTTGATTTGTACATCATTGTATAAAAGACAGCTACAAACTTCCTAATATACTAAACTCCAAAGATATTTAACCTAAATACTTGAATCCTAATCAACTATTACTCCTACTTTAAGTCACTATATACATATATCTTTCTTAATAGTTTATCCCAAATATCAAATTCTTGGAATTGAGATCTCTAAGATGCTTAATGAGCACCGATGTGATTCAACATAGAAATATTTAGGGAAAAACAATTGTTGATTTGTTAAAATGGCAGAAAAAGTTTGACTTGTGGCTAACTTCAATGAATCCCACCCTCATGCACCGCATGTCATGCCCCTTAAAGGATGAGACATGTGCCTGATTGAATCTGGTGACTTTGCAGATGCCTTCCATGACAATGTACAAAGGTGACAAACACAAGAAACTTCCTTACCCACGTGTACTTTAGGTTATTTCCCTCCATCACCAATTGGTGCACACATAGTACAAGGAGAGTTACACCAATCTAAATTGCCATTAAATTGGAAAGTTGTAGCATCTATGACATGGTAGTTGGAACCATACATAGGTACAAGAAACAACTGCAAAATTAGACCATGGACAACCCAACAAGTACATCACAAGACAAAGAATGGTGAAGGTTACTCTGCAATTAACGCAGTTTCCAAGATTTGCTAAGAACACAAACTTGACTACATTGCTTTAAAAAAAGAAAGTTTCTTCAGTGGCAATTGGCTCTAACTATCTTGGCAATCAAGGAGTAATATCAGATGATTAGTAACCACGAGAATCTGAACATGTCTCATCGATATCAACAATCTCCTCCATTACAATACATTTTAGACCTCAAAAGCCATGTCTCGTGTGATGATATACCCGTAATACAATGCACATAATTCAATCAAGAACAAATCAACGAAAATTCTAATCAAATCGTATACCCATATCATGAAACTAAAAACCCAGAAATAAATCAAGTCGAAAGATGAAAACCAGCAGTTAAAAAGATAAAATACCTAAAGAGAAGTAATCATTCGTTTACGTTCCTTCAGTGTCGCTGCTCAAGTATACGTCGTCATTTCAAAGCAAATATAAACTCAAAACCAGGGTTACAATTAAGTACTTCTATATTCGAGCAATAAGAAACCCAACTCCGATCTTGAAGTTTGTATGTCTCAACTATAAGGAAACAGTACCAAGCAAATGCGTCTACTTGGATTTGTGATTATTCGATTTTACAATTTGGAGGGAGGGAGGGTTTTTCGTTTTCATTGTCCCCTCTTTCTCGTCCCCTTTTATCAATCGCACATATCGACGAGATACAGTTCTTAGAAGGAACTACATAAAGAGTCCCTCAGCTATTTTTTAATATGTAGATAACATCCTCAACCATATATTAATATCCGGATTTTCTTACATCATAAACATCGTTAATAACCTATTTATTGAGGGATTAATTTAAAAATGCCTAATACTTTTATATTTTCTGGTTTAGTCAAATATTACTTTACCAATTAAAACAATATAATTTTTTCTTTTGTTATTTGGTTGGGAGTCTGGATTCCAAGGTTATTAAAAGCATGGATACAGAGTTGTTAAGTCATTGTTGTTGCTGAGGTGGCGGCAAACCAGGTTACCCCATGGCATGTTCATCAAGTGTCCATAAACATGGCCCAAAAAATTATAGGGCCAAATTTCTTTTATAGCATTTTTAGTAGCATATATTCTTTTAATGGCCCAAAAAGCAAAAAATAGGTTACTCTTTTGACTCTATCAGCCGACTGCACGCAAGAAAAGAGGGAGCGGGAAAGAAATTTTGAGAAAATAAAAATATAATAATAAAAAATGTTTGAGTTCTTCTTTACTAATTACGCACGCAAGCATGAGGCATTCTCCAATCGTTGATAACAGTAAACATCATTTCAGAGCAACGGTATTATTGATCTTTTGTTTGCTTATTTTTAAGTTTTATCCGTCATCAGTCGATTCCAATCACCATGAGAGACGCAATCAACATAATCTTACTTCTTTTTTTCTTCTCAAAACTCTGAAGCAAGTTAAGGCTTCAAGTAACGATTTTACTTCACAATCAAAGATTCAGAGGTTTAAAAATCAGAAGGTTTCGAAATTAGACGCAATCAACATACAACAACATGTGGTTGTGTCAGGTTCGTATCAACTTCATATAACAACATGTAGTTGTGTCAAGTCCGTATCAAGTCCGTATCAACCCCCGAGTCCATATCAACCCATATGACAACAATTAGTTGTGTTGGGTCCGTATCAACCCCCGAGTCTGTATCAACTCCGAGTCCATAATGACTCTATATAACAACACGTAGCTATGTCGGGTCCGTATCAACCCCACATACATAAAACATACAGGCATATCAGCAAGCGTCACAAAGACCACTATCATCCTACAACATAATCCAGTGGGCCAACATTGGTGCCTTCGACCCAGGAGTACATTGAAGAGACTCACCTCAGTCCAAGATAACCGAAACACACGCGTTCCTGCTACCGGAATCCTCACACTGAACACAACCAAATTATCCATAATCAATAATTAACGTAATATGCCAAAATTCAAGTTCCAAATCATTTTCTATCATTCCAATGGGTAAAATACCATTTTACCCTTCTCATTTCTGACCCAACAACTCATGGCCCGACTCCCAAAAGAGTCAAGGCCCAAAAAGAGTATCTCAAGAGTACGCCCCGCGTACTGTCTGCTGAAGCTCAATGTACAACCTGTCACAACGGGTAACGAGGAAATCCATGCATTACGCTGAGCGTACACATACGTACGTCATGGGTGTCCATTTCTCATTTTAAGGACTTAATGCTTAAGACAAAACGCCCAAACACAGATCTAACCTCTAAGGGATGTCTTAAGTCATAAAGTTCATGACTTTATGACTTTGCATGGCTTAATGGGGTCCAAACCAAAATCCAAGCTTCATAACTTCAAGATCCAAACTTTATGACTTAATGACCTTAACAAGGACCAGATATGAGGCTCAAAGGCTCTAGAGTAACTTCTACTCACAAGAACCACAATTATGGGACCAAAACATAACAAATCACAACCCCAAGCTAGATCTACAAGAGAAAGCCATCAAGATTAAAACTTTATACCTCCATGGGCTAGATCAAGATGAACAAAGCTTGGATCTCCAAGCTCCAAGGCAACCAACACTTCTTTAAGGAGTTCTTCTTACAAAGGCACCAAAAATCAACCAAAATCACTCCAATGCTCAAAATCCTTCCAAATGGGGGCTAGGGTTTCGAATTTAGGGTTAGAGGGGATGGAGGCTGAAGATTTGGAGGGTTGGAAATGAGTTAAGGCCTTTAAATAGGGTCCAAGACCCTAAATTAGGGTTTACATCTTACTGGAGTACGTCCAACGTACTCCAAAGCTCTCCACGATCACCTACGCCCAATACGCTCAACGTACACCATGTATGCCCAGCGTACTAGACTAACCCAATAATCCTCCTAACTTCCAAAGGCCATAACTTCTTCGTTATAACTCCATTTCGATGATCCTTATATCCACAGAAAGGTAATGAGAAGCCCTACACTTCTATCAACTCTCATTTACCTTAAAACCTTCCGAACTTAAATCCTAAATTCATGAAAGGCCCGAACCATCGCCTTTTTACCATTATACCCTTGGGCTCCAAAGCACAACGAAACTCTTGGATCACATAGTCTACATTACCCACATCCAAATGAGTCTAAACCTCTCAATCCCCGAAGCCCTGAAGCCTTATGATATGTAACACTTGGATTTGGGTATATTCCTTATTTGCCCTTTATATTTAATTGTTGCATTATTGGTCCTTAGAGTAGTATGCAGGGCGTACCACATGGTACGCTTAGCGTACTAAGGTGGAGCTTGATCGCGGGTGTGAGACCTCATATGTTGGGCGTACGAGGGTTACATTTAGCGTACGTGGAGGATAAGAAACCCTAATTTTAGGGTGTTGCACCCTATTTAAGGTCCTTAAGTTCCTAGGGCTGACCTTTTTACCAGCCTTCATTGCCCTAAAACCCTAAAACCCGACCCTTAGCCTCCATTGTTCTGTCTTTGAGCTCTTGAGAAGAAGTTGGTGTTTATTTTGAAGGGAGTGAAGAAGATTGAAGGTGCATTGTGTAACACCCAAAAATCTCAAGAAAATTTAGAACTTTTAAGACATTTCAACCCATTAAAAATCATTACAACTTTGTTTTCAAAATTTATAATATCAGAGTTTTTCCCAGAAACATAAACAAATCATGAGGAGCTGTACGATCATGCCTTCGCCTTGCCGCGATCCCCTGATGTACCTGAAACAACAAACTGAAATTGTAAGCTCGAAAGCTTAGTGAGTTCCCCCAAAAGATACCAACGCCATACCAATATAACCACAACAAATAACAATTACAGATCAGCATGCATAATGAGCCTTCGGCCTGACTGGACCGCCTTACAAGGCTTACAGCCTATCTGGACCGCTCCCGAGCCTTCGGCATGACTGGACCGCCTCGCAGGGCCTACAGCCTATCCGGACCGCTCCCTGAGTATGTTGGCCTACAGCACAAAGCAGGACCGCCTCAACCCAACCCCCAATCAAACAACATATGCACATAAATATCATACGCTAGCTCATATCATATAACAGTCAAACAGATCTAACAGATCACTAATCATAGCAACATCCCAATAGCCGAGATACAGACCTAACCGGTCACTAACATAGCATCATCCTATAACCAGGACACTGACCTAACCAGGTCACTAAGCATAAGCATACCATCATCTTAACTACCAGGATGTAATCAATAAACATATCATGCCATAATCCAGATACAATATATAAAGGGCCGACCTTGGTGCCTTAGACCCATTGGTATAGTGAGGATAACCCACCTTGAAAATGTCGACTCAAAAGATAAGCTCGCACTCTCGGATCACTGCCAAAAACTCCACCACCTATAATCGCCATACAACCATGTTCATAAGTCCCCAAGATGCCCCCCCCCAAAGTCCAAAAGTCAACCCATTGTCAAAGTCAAAGTCAACTGCCAAGGTCAACAGTCCATGTTGACCTGAACTCGTCGAGTGCAACTAGACACTCGCCGAGTTCCTTGCATAATTAACCCTCTCGCCGAGTCACTCTACTGACTCGCCGAGTCTACGACAATCTTCATCGGACTCGCCGAGTTGTTCATCCAACCCGTCGAGTTCATGACCATCTTCATATGACTCGCCGAGTCTACCATGCGACTCGTCGAGTCCCTGCAATCCTCCATCCTTACAGGTAGTTTCTAAGCCATGCAAAGGCTCCATATTGCAGATCTAAGTTCCTAGCGTATGTTTATCACGTAAAGTTGCAAACTTTACGTGCATGCAAGATGATAATGCCCCAAAATAAGCTAAAGGAGTGGCTTAAGGTAAGGGAAAGGTCATAGCTTGACAAAGACTGAAACTTTATGATAAAGAGGGGCTAAAGGAGTCCAGATCTGAGGTTGCAAACCTCAGATCTTGACCCAAATCGGAGAACCATCTCAAAACCCTAAAAAGGGCTCTAAACCCATAAATGAAGAGATCTAACCAAAGGAGAGTCAAGGTAACAACTTGTTACCTTCAAAACGATGCCAATACAGAGAAGAATCCGGATCTACAACAACCCCTTGCTTCAAACTTCTTGAACTCCAAGCACTTTACTCCAAGAATATTCTTTCAAGATAAAAGCACACAAAAATAGAGGAAAAGCACAATTAGGGTTTCTGAATTCGAGGAAGGCAGTGAGAGAGGTTAGGGGGGAATAAGTGATCCTTAAATAGGGTGCAAAACCCCAGAAATTAGGGTTTCACCCTCCAGCTCCTACTCGTCGAGTCCCTTCTTGGACTCGGCGAGTAGGCCACTAAAACACGCGGACCAACCCGCTGCTACTCGACGAGTAAGGCAACCAACTCGTCGAGTAGACCTTGAAATCAAGAAAATTCTTATATAAAATCAATACCTGAGAATCGGGGCATTACACATTGCTTGTGAGAAGCTTAGAGATCCAGAATCATCACTCATTTTGCAAGCCTTTTGAGGTATAAAGTTCATACCTTATCTTCTCCTTGCTTAGATCTCTTTGTAACACCCACAAATTTCAAACAAATTTTCACATTTTAAAAACACTTTATTTCATAATACTATAAAACTCATTGTTTCATATATCCAGACATAAGTCAAAATCCCAAGATCATAACATATATAAAACTCCGCGTGTGTGTGTATTGATCATGCCGGCGCCTTCCCGCGATCCTCACTAGTACCTGAAA